TGGTTCCACTCGATCGCTTCTTTAATACGAGCAGTATTAAAGTTGCGTAAGTCTCGCCGCATGCATTTGGAGATCTGTCTGTTCAGTTGCCTGTATGCTGTCAAATCTGTTGACGATTGCAGCCTCATCTCCCGTCTAACAGCCATGAGATTAAGAGTGTGATCGGAGAGTTTTTGTGTTCTTCTGCGGCGGGTCTTGCAGAACTTAGCTCCGACCGCATGGACAGTTTCCACGAGCTTGTCATTCATATCGTCCACTGCATTGCAATCTTGTAGGCCCTGAAAGCGGTTGTGTAACTCGAGCTGAAAGTTTTCGGGATTTTGGATCAGAGCACGAGGGGGGACGGAGCGTTGACTTCATTAGACGAGACCTCTCCAACTTAACGTTTAGGTTCAGTGTGCCTCTAACCATTCGGTGATCGCTGCCAGTTTTCACCCTTGCGATCACTGAGACATCACTGAACAGTTGGCGTCTGGTCGTCATAATGAAGTCAATCTCATTTTTTGTCGAACCGTCGGGGCTCGACCAGGTCCACTTCCTGTGGGGCCGCTTCTGGAAGAAAGAGTTCATCATAAAGAGTCCGTCTTTCTCCATAAAGTCGGCCAGCTGCTGGCCCCTTCGGTTCCGTTGCCCTACTCCAAATTTCCCTAACTTCAGCTCACCGTTTTCTCTTGTGCCTAGTTTTGCGTTGAAGTCTCCCATCAACACAGTGTAGTGGGTTTTGGGGGAATGTATGGCTTTGGAAATATCCTCATACATTTCCTCCACCTCCTCATCGAAATGTGCCGACGTTGGTGCGTAAACCTGTATGACCTTCAGCGAATACCGTTTGGTGATTCTGAGTATCAGGTACGTGACCCTCGTCGACACACTCTCAATCTGTACAACGTTGTTGACGAGAGACTTGTGGACGATAAATCCGACACCTCCTTGGGACAGATGGTCGCCCTCCCGATGATAGAACAAGTTGCCGGATTCGAGAATCACCGTGTCCTCCCCCTCTCTTCGGACCTCGGATAATCCTATAATACTCCAGCGCAACTTGTCTATCTCTTCTTCCAGCTCCAGGATCTTCTCGTCAGTCCTCAGTGTGCGTGCGTTAAATGTTGCCAGGTCGAGTCGTCGTAGGTGGCAACCGAACCTCCACCGGAGATTCTTATTCTAATTTCATCATTTGTGATATTTTTATACAAATTTTATAGAAATAACTGAATATCTTGGTGATCATTCGGATGAAGATCAAGCAGTTGAGTCTAAATTACTTATACATATGTACCTAGTACCTATTTGGTTCAAAATGTATTAGTTAAGTAAAATTTTTGGTATTTTAGTTCATAAACGAGAAAAGCACCTACCAATAAGAATAAAAGCTTTGTTTAGTATCTTTGATCTCTTTTATTAAGACGACACATCGAAAATAAACGCTTAATAAACGCTTGGTTCCGCCTATTCCACCCCGCGCCCCGCTTGTGACACTCGTCACTCGGTTCCTAAAATTTCGCCAAATGCTCAATCGGAGGTCAACGTACGATATACAGAAAGGAACAAGCAAGCGTCGGAGTCGCGACACACTATTATTTTTAATGTTTTTAATATTTTGCATCATTAAATGTCTTGTATAATAAAATGTAACTGTATCTGTCATTGTTGTTGTCGTCATGTTCGTTTATCAAAAGAGAAATCAACAAAGCTTATATTTTTTTATTTATTGAAATAATAACTAAGTCATAATTTTTAAAAATTATTATATTGTACCTATAACTGAATTTGTATCTATTCATCATTTGTATCTAGATATACGGCCAGTATATGGATGTTGTCAATATACCTATATAGGTAGCATTTAGTCAAATGTCATTTTATATTCCCACAAAAAATAACTAAAATGCAGCTATAAGCAACCACGCGTAGAAAACCTAATGATTCAAGTGTCATTTAATGTGGTGGAGTCATGCTGCAGTTAATACTAGTGTAAAATAGTAGCTTAATGCTGCTGTATTCCGTATGGTGAGTGTAGAGAACCGGAGACCCTTTTTACTGGAAACGAGGTATTCGATCCTAGTCCTCACGGGTGACAACACATCTTTTTTTATAGGATAGGGTAATAAACGAACACACAGTCCACCTGATGGTAAGTGGTTGCTGCGGCCCATAGACATCTACATCTATCTTCGATTACAAATCAAAATGCAGATGCGTTGTCACCCTTGAAGACTAAGATGGAATGCCTCGTTTCCAGTAAAAAAGGGTCTCCGGTTCTCTACACTCACCATACGAAATACAGCAGCATTAAGCTACTATTTCACGCTGGTATTCTGTGAGAGTGTGGTCCTTCCCCGGTCGAGCCGAACCATTCGTGCTACAACTATACTACTAATTTAACTGCAGCTCGGCTCTACCACGTAAAAGTCTGCATTTTGATCTGCATTTTGATTCGTTATCGAGGATAGGCCACAGCAACCATTTACCATCAGGTTGACTGTGTGCTCGTTTGTCACCCTATCCTTCAAAAAAAAATCATACCCCGATACGTATAATCTACGTATAATGCAAAGGCTTATTTTATTTATATACGATTTTGTTATCTATTCCCTTGTAGGTAAGTACTAAGTGATTGGAATTATCTAAATGGCTAAGTTGCTTGAATCATACTGAATCTAGGTAGGCAGGTAATGTTCCTTATAATTAACTACAGACATACGTGACACTAAAATGCTATTAAAATATTTACAATGATATTATTTACCTTGACTTGTTCGCCTCCGTCGTTAAAAAATTAATGAATAAATGAAATGAAACGTTACGAATGCATTTGAGTGATTCCCAAGCACATAGATTAAGTAATTTTGTTGTAATTTCAACTATAATAACAATATATATATATATATATATATATATATATATATATATATATATATATATATATATATATATATATATATTGTTATTCTTTGACAACCATTTGTATCTTAAACATTTTACAATATTGTTTCAAGGACCAAAATAAAAGTTTATGTGCAAAAATTCCAAAACGGAATAAAAGAACTTCGGGACTCTCAAACTGGGCCATTATATTCAAAGGTGTTCTTCACTTTCGACGTTCCAAAAAAAAAACATTGATCTCACATTTCATTACACTTGACACATTCAATTTGTAATAAGATTACACGTTATCATGACGAACGGGCAGCGAGATGAGTACAACCAGACTCAAGATTAAATCCTCTTTTTTTTTTCACATAAAATACCAACACAAATTACACCGATAGGTGTAAAATTACACCGATAGGTGTAATTTGTGTTGGTATTAATAATGTACCCTACTTCATCGACCAATATTGTCCTGCCTTCGCTATTCACAATTATTTATTTAAAAATGTGAATTAATTCGTTTTCTGATTACCAATTAAGTTGTTAATGTTAACTAAGAATAAATGGAGGCTATATTTCAAATTACGCTTGATGAATGGCTAACTCGACGTGTTATATGGCCCGAAGCAATAGAACTAATAAAAATATTACAACGTTAAAATCGTATTTGCACGAATTTTAAACTTGTATATGTTGTGTAACATGAAACGCACGCACACATACAATTCATAATCTACATAATAGATACTCGTATGTATCGCATTTCTATAAAATACACGACGTAATGAATTTTCTCTACGTAGAATTTGACATCGCGTAAAATCTTTCATCACATTTTAAATATTTCGTTGCTTTCTTTTCACTCTTGCTTTCAACTTTCTTGCCACACAACCGACCTCATAAAATTTACAAGAATACAAACATTAAAACACTTAAAATCATATATTTTATTATCCTTACCGATATGTTATACTTACAAAAAAAAATATGTCGAAATTTTGCGTTTTGAAACTTATTATGTAATCGGGAATTCCTCGCGCCAATAAACCAATAAGCAAAATGACGCTCGGCGCCATCACCTTCCAGTCCTGCGAAATGTCATGATTTAAGTTACGTAAAAAATCTTTTACCTTGCCCAAACTTTAGCAATGTCTTTGAAAATGGATGTTTGTCGAAACTGCCATTCCAATTCTCCGTTACGTTTCCTAAAGCAAAGGAACCACTGATTATAAAGTCAGTCAGTACATACTTAGTAGAGAATCAGTGCAGCTATATTGTCGTTGTACCGCTGAACCGGGTAAAGACACGCTCTCACAGAATACTAGAGTAAAACAGCAGCTTAATGCTGTTGTGTTTCGTATGGTGATTCTAAAATGGGAGACTATTTATAATGGAAACTAGGCATTCAGTCATATCTGGACATATCTGGACTTTGATTTTTTTAAACTATTTGGCATCATTAACAAAAAATCGAAAAAATGTATGTTTATTACAATAAAACACAACAATAGCATAGGTTGGAACCGCCTAGTAAGTTTAATAAAATAATTTTTTAAGGCTGTCCCGCTCTTTCTTAATACTTGCATACATACCTAATAAAAACTAAACATTACAATTAGTTTTAAAAAAAAAAAAATTAGCTAAATTAATAAAGTTTTGTGTGTGTAAACATACACGTTTGTGTGTTTTTGTGTAAATATGGTAAATATGTTCATATGTATATGTTTTCATATACAAAACACAACAACACACAAACACAATATGAACGAGAGAGTATCCATAATCCATATACATTGTGTTCAGCTGTACATTTTGCGACTACAAGGTTTTTTATATAGCTACGAAGGTTTTTTTTATTTAAATATTCACACGATATTATAAAATTATTACAATAAAAGAGACGAGTCCACTGCTAAAATAAACATTCCCCAAAAAATACCACAAAGTTTGGCCCTGAACCACCTGTATCCATCAATTTCCTACTAGTTACCAGCACATATAAATTTTAATTTTATGTTTTATTTTAACCCTTTATAACTCAATAAAATATTATTTAATAAAAAGTAGCTGTTGGGGTAGAATTTGGAAAATAAGAAAACACGTATTCTTTAATTTTCATTTTTTTATATTTACCTCACAAAATAAAAATAAAGGGAGTGTGCCATTACGGGTACATTGCTGCAATGTGTTCCACTATGAAATATGGAACGTTTTAAAACAATTGTTTTGTTTGTTGTTGCATAATGCAACTCCAGACTTTTCACAAATGGTCTGTGATTTGCCAGAGCAATTAGGGAGCTTGCAACGGATATGTTTTCGACCCATACTGGCCAGTAACCTACTTGGTCTTGGCGCACAGCTGCTGGAGGCACGAATTGAGCTGGACCCTTGCGTTTTTTAGCTTGGATGTCTGGTTCAATGCTTCGGCGTTGTACGTGTGCTTTTATCCCCATCTTACATAGCACCGTACCAATCTCTTCACGAAAGTCAGCAGATGACAGCAGTGGTCCATTCGTATTATTGGTCTTATAAACCCTCTTGTACAGTAACCAGGCATTGGATATGGCAAGGTCCAGGAAATGGTAAAACATTCGAACTTGCCATCTCTTGCTTCGTAGTTTTATTTTATATCTACCCATTATACTATCAATGAGATTGACACCGCCCATGTGGCGGTTGTATTCTCCCACCACGTTTGATCTATCAATGGTCACATACCTCTTGTGCGGCTTATCGTATCTAGATACTTGTGACTTGGGTAGTTCACCCACAAAACTGGAGGCAAGTGTGACTATTTTATTGTCCTTCCAAGCCACTGTAGAAATATCTGTTCCTTGGACACAGGCAACATACTCGACTGAATAGCCACGTTCTTTTTTTTGAGACTTCTTTTTCTGCGGGTAGTTTATAATCAAGTATTCGGTTGCGTCGAAGGGTTCCCAAGCTCAATATTCCTTGTTTAGCGAAATATTCTAGTAGTAGCAGGGATGTGAAGTAGTTGTCAAAATATAGGCGGTAATTTTGATTGCATGGTATTTACATAATGATTTCTTATATTTACGCGAACACTATACATTGATTAAAACTACTTTTACGGATTTTATCGCGTTTTATTTATATTAATTTTAATACCCGACGTTTCTCCGCCCGCGCCTCCGTCACAGTGACCGAGTGAAGTCACAGTCACAGTCGAGCGTGTGCCTGCTATACTACCATATGTCAGAGGTGTCACAGACAAGATTGGCTACATCTTGAAGCGAGCTTCCATTAGAACATTCTACAAGCCGCCGAAGAAGATTAGTCAGTTCTTACCATCCGTCAAGTGTCATATTCCTCTACAAGATGCAGGAGTGTACAAGCTTGATTGTGATTGTGGTCTCTTACATAAAGGGCAAACAAAGAGATCAATTAGAACCCGCGTAAAAGAACACATAGCTGACGTGAAGCATCAAGGTTCCGAGTAAGTCTGCAGTTTGCGATCATATTCTAGATGGCCCCAACCATTACATCAGATTTGATAGACCACAAATCCTCGCGAAAGAACATCGATTCCTACCAAGGATGATACGTGAGGCTATTGAAATTAAAAAACATCCTAATTTCAATAGAGAAGGAGGCTGGGTATTACCACCTGCTTGGGATCCTATAATTAATATAATTAAAACTAAACCCAAGCATACCACTGCAAGACTTCAAAATACAGTTAGTTCATTCTGCGTAGATCGGACCAAAGACAATAATTAAAAAGCTGAAGGTATTCCGGGTTAATTTTGACATGGGGACGTTAGTCACCTCAGTCACCCGTGACCATGGGTGCTGGAAAGCACCCGAAACGTCGGGTATTAAAATTAATATAAATAAAACGCGATAAAATACGTAAAAGTAGTTTAATCAATGCGTGGTATTTCGCGAGCTAGCCTGACGACGACTTTTGCTGCAGCACCCAGGTTTGGCTCATTGGGCCCAACTACATTTTCAGCTCCAGTTTCTGGCTCGTACTTGTAAGCAAACCCGCTCACGCTGCTCAGGACATAGATTTTGTAGCCCCATTTATGGGGTTTCTTAGGATTATATCTCTTGAGGTTGTGTCTAGCTTTCGTGGAACAAATATCTTCATCCACGTAGAGATACTTCTCGAACGGGACATTGAGGCAAGTTTCATTTAGTTTCCACACAATTGGCCTGATTTTGTAGAGGCGGTCATGGGCTGCGTTATCGCGAGAAACTATTTTCGAGTTATCGTTGAAGTAAATAAATCGTCTGATTTTTTCAAATTTATTTACTGGCATTGTGTCTTTTACTAGAGGTGTTCCTAAACTACCACTACCACTGTACTAACGACATAATGAAAACCAGACCAATAAATTGCTGGATATCCGTCTCTGTGACCCGGAATGGCATGTTAGTATCTTTTTGCACAATGTAAAGGTTAGTTTGGTTGGCTATTTCTGCAAAAAGTTCCTTGGAAAATATTTTGAAAAAGAACTGTACCAGACTATCAAGTTCTAGAAACTCTGCTGGCAAGTCTTCGTCACTTGTGAAGCTGAGTTGCTGCTCATTTAGCTGGAGGTTCTTTTTTTTTCCAACTTTAATTCAGTTTTTGCTTGGCTTGACTGCGTCCTGATGATCCAGGTCTAGATGATTGTCCTGGATGAGGAAAGGTTTCAGAAGGAGTTGGCGGTTGAGAAGTACTACTTGAATTCTCAATATTTTCAATGATGGTGTCAATATTCACTCCATTAACCTCTTCAAAATCATCGGTGTCCATTGGCACCTCCAAATCCGGAACAAAACCAGGATCTGCAATGCTGTCGTCGTCACCATCAAATCCGTCTTCACTCTCTGCATAATCAAAGAGGAACTCCTCTATTTGCTCGTCTCCTAGACCTCTGGATGCCATCCTGTCGCAATAATAAAAAAGTGCTCAATGTATGACACTAAATGTACTTAGTAACACAATGTACCAGAACTGGCACAAACACAAAACGGCAATTATATTCAAAAATTACATAAAACTATTCAATATCTACAATAAATAGCAAATAACATACACTTACCTAGTAAATTCACACCACAAACAAACAGATTTCACAGTTTAAATAATTTTCATCTATTTTCAAAACTTACTAAACAAACGTATTTTACGAATCGTCAAATTGTTTGATTCAAATTCGTTTGTGTTGAAAAAGCGCCATCTGTGGGGTATGAACAATACTAAACATTGACGCGCGATATGTTCCAGAGCGGGAACACTATAATAACCGAAAAAATAATTTTCTTTAGATTTTATATGGAGAAATTTGGTATGTTCCAGTAGTGTCCCACGGTGATATAAAGAGTTAAAGAATAACTTATCTATATATGAATATTTTGTACGAGCAGTTTTTATTCTAGTCAGGGGGACTTTTTTATAGAAGAGGGGGCAAACGAGCACACGGCTCACCTGATGGTAAGTGATTACCGCCGCCCACGAACAACTGCAACACCAGGGGAATCGCAGATGCGTTGCCAGCCTTTTAAAAAGGAGTATACTCTTTAACCTCTTGGTTCTTTTATTGAAGGTATCTAAGTCGACTTTGCGACACTTTAATCTCTTAAGCTTTCTATTTGCGTTGAGTTATAATATTATTAAAGTACTTTTGAGGAAATTTTATAAACAGTACGTTTGAAACTTTAGCTCAGACAGTAAGTTACATTATTTGTATAAAGTGTCAGTTTGTAAAAACATAATTTTTAAACAAGATTTTTGTACTCTCTTCACTTAAAACAAAACTGTTCATATGTTTTGTCTATACACTTACTATAGTAGGGAGAATTAGTATAAAAAACACCGATGTTATTTCAAAAATCATTTTTTTTATAGGAGAGGGGGCAAACGGGCATACGGCTCACCTGATGGTAAGTGATTACCGCAGCCCATGAACAACTGCAACACCAGAGTAATTGCAGATGCGTTGCCAGCCTTTTTAAAAGGAATAGGCTCTTTTCTTGAAGGTCCCTAAGTCGTATCGGTCCGGAAAAATCTCTGGTGGTAGTCGATTCCACAAGGAAGTTGTGCGAGGAAGAAAACTTCTTTTAAATCGCAGGCCTCAAGATGGTATGGATGGTGTCGCGAGTTTTTTCGCGATGTGCGATGGTGAATTAGTCCGAATAATCCCTCAGAACACTTCCGTGGTAAATGCGATAAAATACGCAAAGAGATGCAACATCTCTTCGCAGTGCCAGTAAGTCAAGCCGATCGGAAAGAGCTCGGTCACCGACGATTCGAAGTGCTCTGCGTTAGATGCGATCCTTTCCGGGGGGGCCGGTTTTGCTTGTGGCCGAGATTTTGTTCAACGAAGTTTCGACTTCAAACACAAGTTTGTTCCGGTACTCGGCGACGTTTTCCCAAGAAATATTGGTACGGCCGGTGTATAAAGCATCATCGAATGTTACCGGTTTGCAACATGTCATTGATATACAGAAGGAACAGCGTTGGTGATAGCACACAGCCTTGAGGAACACCAGCGCTTATGGGCTTGTAAGTTTATTCTTTTTTCGTAAAATCTTATTTCTACATTTATGAATTTCTATCGTAGCCCAATTGAATTTGTTTTATAAAATTTTATCAAACTATCGATTAAAAACCTGAAAAAAATCTTTATAAAAAGACTAGGATTTATTCGATTTAGTAACGACGGCTGTTATGTTACCTATAACTTATAAGTAACACCGTGTAGTGGCGGTGTAAGAATACCCGCTAGAGATAAAAATCAAGAAATTTAACAGTCTTCTTACTGAAAGACTACTATTCAGATAACTTACATCTAAATGTTCACACGATATTATAAATTTAGTACTTAAACAAGCTACTTTCGTAACATTGTAACATTTTACAATATGTCTTCAAAATCACTAATATTAATGTCATAGAGTGGGCGGTACACAAAATATTATGTAATCTTCTAGTTCAACACAAAGTTTAGATAATTTAGCTATTATGTTATTACAGATAACTTTATATCTTAATGTTTTTCTGTTTTTATACAATTGCTGCTTATTATACTTGACTCATTTTGACAACCAGGACTTTTCGTATTATGAGCTCTAGCAATAATTTAATTATAAAACCCAATTTCCATTTCAAAATTCTTTAAGCCAATGCTCTGTTACGTAAAATATATTAGCAAAAACGTACCTATATAATAATTTCAAAAACAGCCAAATACAATACTATGTGTGTTTTCTTTAATTTTTTATAGGAGTTGAACAAACGATTACGCGGCTCGCTACCGTCGACCATAAACACCGGCAACACCAAGAGTCCCTAAGTCATATCGGTTCTCAAATATCTCTGTTAGTAGCTAATTTAAAAAAAAACGTGCGAGGAAGAATCTTTCCTAATATTTAAAATGCGAAAGTGTGTCTAAATATTCTAGTTACCTTGTCACAGCTAAGTCGTAGAAGTCATAGAGCTTAACTAATAAGTTGATGATGTTTTCGATTGATTCGCGATATTTTTAATACCTGGATAAATAAATCGCGGGTACAGGAGTACAGGTGCTGTCACTTCAGTTATTTTACAGCACCAAACAAATTTAATAAGAGCGTTATAATATTGCATACTCGTATTATTATTGTATAGCACACACATATTTATATATAAAATTAATGTTCGTTAGTTCGTATTTTGTGCGCTACCATACTGTTCATCAGATTGCGGAAAAACATTATCAACTTATTGTTTGTACTTTTGAGAAGATTATATACATAGAATACTATCAATTTACAGTAGGCGGCGCGCGTATAATACCGTCAAATTTATTTGTTTGAAATATATAATATCACTCAACTTCAATGAACGTATTATCTTCCCTAATTAAACAATATAACTCTTCCAGATTTAAAACGATATTTATACAATTATTTCTTCTGCGGTTACAACGCGTCGGGTACTTGCTAGTTATCTAATAATAAATCATATTTTTTATTGACAAAAACGGTTGAAATTAGGCCGATTGCCAATTACCGTAAAGCCCTGGCGGATTCCCCAAACAAATACCCAGTTTGTTTATTTTACGGACTAAAAATTCAATCGTGACTAAACCAAAATCCCTGCACCATAATAAATAATACAATATAACTACGCAATATCCCGTTGTTAACAACTCACAGACAGCTTGCCCCAGGCAGGTACGAGAACTGATTCTGTTTAGATTCCAACACTGATTGGAATAATCCTTTCACCTTGATGGCAAATTTTCATCGACAAAATGATAGAATAAGCCGCGCTAAAATTTCAAACAATCAAATGTTTTTTTTTTTCTAGTATACAGAAATTTTTTTGTTGTTTCTCCTTACTTTTGAAATTAAATTGTAAACATCTTTATAAAAATGTTATGTTAATATCATGTGTATGATTACGTTTCCTTCAACAGTATTTACATAATTAATTTCATATCACATCAGCTATATATACTCAAGTATAACTGTGTAATCGAAATTCAATGAATAATTTATAATAAAGGGTGCTTACATGTTCAAAATAATTCATAAGAAAACAGGAGATAGAAACGGCTACCTAACAGCTTAAAACTGCGGATGTCTGGTACAAATATATAAGACAATTTATTTGTTCTTTTTTTGCAGCATTGGGTGTCAAACGAGCACACAGTCCACCTGATGGTAAGTGAATGCTGTTGCCCATAGACATCCACATTTATCTTTAATTAAGAATCAAAATGCAAATGCGTTGTCACCCCTAAGGACTAAGATGGAATGCCTCGATTCCAGTAAAACGGGTCTCCAGTTCTCTACACTTACCATACTAATCACAGCAGCATTACACTGCTATTTTACGCTGGTATTCTGTGAGAGCGTGGTCCTGCCCCGGTCGAGCCGACCCATTCGTGCTACAACTATATTATGGCTGAAGCGTGGCTCTACCACGTAAAAAAAGTTCTTAAGAACAAACTTAAGAACGACGAACAAGTCATCAACTAAACTAATGCTCACTTCCAATTTGAAAACAAGTAGACAGCCTGCCGTCGTTTGAGGCATCGTCGTGCTTACACAAAATACAAACCAGTCCTTGTCATTCAATTAGAGCGTAAGAACATTACCGTGCGTGGCTCTATCGAATGCACTACTTACGTAATGTTGATGCTGTGTGGGCGGCCAATATGACACCTGTCTACAGGAATTAGCGATCGACTAAGCATTAGTTCGTTCCATACGTGTTGATATGTCGATAATTATTCACGGATTTGCATTTGGCTCTTTTGTAACAGTATTTGCAGAATAATCCATA